TTTAAACTTGAGAATCTAGATTTGTGGTCGCCGCAAATGCTACACTACAGATGTTACCGATGTGAACATCCATCCGCGTATGAACATCAAGACATGCATGGCTGCGTGTGTTGTTATCAGCTATAACTATGTCATAGGCTGACTGGACATTGGGAATCACTCCAGGAGGGTGTTAATGGCCTTCACGTAAAGTCCAACTAGGTCAGCCAGACCTGCAAATAGAGTGGGTCATCAAAGGATGGAAAACTAACTTCAACTTAAAGGACCTTTGAGGAAATACTTTGAAGTCAAATTGAAAGTGTGTACTTATGACAAAAAAGTGTAAAAGTAATTTAAAATTGAAAAACATGGGACAGAATTGGGAACGGCGGACAACTCAAGAGTTAGGCCGCCGCTTTATTTAAAATTCCAGGAATTAAGGTAATACCTCTAAAATTGCCGTCAAAACATTTTATTTCTATCTGAAAAGTTCTTAGAATTTTGGACAAGTTAGGTGTTGCTCTCTCAAGAGAGATGAAGTTAAATGGAGACCTGACACGATAAGCTTTTCCTCCACCAGTAATTAGTTCAGCCCATCGTTGAGGTTGTGCTTGGGAGTGAGCTCGGGATCCTTTTCAACAACACCTTGTACTTTTCTCTCCTCGGCAGAGAAACCTTAACTGTTGACCTGACTTCTGTACGTGTTGATGTTTTCATGAATTCCTCATTTCTAAAAGGTGGACGGAGGTAGTCTCATGGCTACGAAGCCAGGGGAAGAAACGCAAAATGCTTTCTGCTACTTTTTGGGCGTGGCCTGCATTTTCCATTCATCGTTCCTTGAAAACCTGTTTGATTAAACAAGGAGCTGGTTTAGAGATCATAACTCAGCGAGTTTGAGGAGACGAGGGAAAAGGTGGCCACACCCTCTTGCTTTTTTTCCCTGTATATCCACGAAATGCTTTGATGTGCTTGCTTCTCGAAGTATTAAAATGTAGTCAAGACCTTGATATCCCGCGAACCAATTTCAAAACCCTTCTCGCCAAGGATGAAGCAAATTACAAAGTCCTCAGTGTTGTCAAGGTGAACCAGTCAATCAGCTCAGTTTTTGTTAACAGGATAGAACTAACTTTAAAGCGTAGTCAATTGCAAACTATAGGTGAACTAAACAGACATACCAAATTACTAATTAAATTGCTAAAAGTGGAAATAAAGCTTTTTAACTCTGGTTTTGGTTGAGTTACATGTAAGAGAACATCTCCATGAGTTTAGACGATTTGTGATGAGTTGGTTACCAAACGGTAACCTT